AAGGAGCAAAGGCAAGGGAATCATTAAGAGGGCCTAGGGAAACTGGTCCTAGAATGATATGAACTAAATGTAAATAAGGAAAGCCAGGGCAGACAGCATGCAGAGAGCACTGCTTTCATCTAGAACACATTTCAAACTACTTCCAACCTGGATTTGCTTTCTTTGCTTGGTCCTCTCAAGTTGCTGTGATTAAAGATGTACTCCCCTGTGACCTGCTCTTCCTGATTGGAAAAACCAAACTTCAGGCTGGGGTTGTGACTCAGTGGCAGAGCACTTGCCTAGCATATGTGAAGCACTGAGTTTGAGTCTCAGCACCACATATAAATAAATAAAATAAAGGTCCATAGACAATTTAAGAAAAGAAAGAAAGAATAACCAAACTTTACCAAGGAAAATGGCACAATTTTGAGTCTCCATGTGCATGTGTGATTGAAAGCCAACTTTTCTGTCAGGTACAGGCATTTCTCATCTCATCTGTGTTCCTTCTCTCCATTAGTTCACAAAGCAGTTTGCAGGTGACCACTCTGTAGTGGGAGGGGAATGACAGCAGGATGACTAGGGCTGCTTTTCATCCATGTGCATCCTCCTTGGGAAGGGTGGGAGCAAACCTCTGCTGGAACATGAAGAGATGGGACAGAAGGAGAAGCCTGGCTACTCAGTGGAAGGGGATCTGTTTGAGAGGGGGTTAATTTCACCCGACAGTAATCTAAAAGTTTATGTTCAAAGCACAAAATAAAACAATAGTTCCTTCTAAGAATTTTGAGACTCAGAGTTGAGGAAAGACAGAGACCTTTGCTTACATAAATGTTGTTGGATCTCTCCCACTTTACTTCTGTGTTCTCTTGAATATATAAAATTGAGATAAAAATATCTATACAATAAAAATACCCATCTTATGGTTGTGTTTGTTTGTGTATTTTTCATCACGGGAGATTGAACAAATACTTACCACTTACAAACATCCCCCACCTTTGCATTCTTTGTTTTGAGACATGGTCTCACTAAATTGCACAGGCTGACTTGGAACTTGCAATCCTCCTGCCTCTGCCTCTGCCTCTCCAGTCACTGGGTGTAAAAGCAAGTGCTCCCACACCTGGCCATCTTGGCCATTTTTACGTGGGTAGAGCAGTGACATCAAGTACATTCACACTGCTGTGCAGCCATCATCACCATCCATTGACAGAACTCTTTTTGACTTATTAAACTGACACTCAGCACCAGCCAATGCTAATTCTCCTTTCCCATTTCCCTAGCCATAGGTACCATATTCTACCTCCTGGTTGTATATATTTGGT